CTGAGTGTCTTTTATATCATTTTGTTGCGTTATTTGAACACCCATCTCCAAAACTTCATTTTATTGTTATTGAGGTCTTTCTCATTTCTCCTGGCCTTCCGTAAGTCTGTTAAGACCTGGCTGTTCCGGCAGGCCTGGGACTGTTGATCTTGACTGAACTTCAGCCCCATTAAAAACTGAGTGCATGTTGTGTTTTTGTTTTTAAGTCGTTCTGTCTTGTGTTTTAATCTTTTTTACTATTTTTAAACTGCTTTTATGTAAGCCGCCCGGAGTCCTTCGGTATTGGGAGGCATACAAATCTATTAAAATTGACAAATTGAATACCACCCCTGAGTGGGACCATAATTTTGGAGAAGAAAATTTTCTCTGTCCTTGCAGCAATTATATACATGGAACAAATTTGGCAGTGCTAAAAATTCAGGCTTGGTAATAATAAAACTGGATTGATTCTGACCTTTACTTTGTGTACAGTATCTGATCCTGGCGTTTCACTTTTCTAAGTTTTTTGGTATTATTAATTTCTAGTATTGTGCATCAGATTGCAGCCTTGAATATTTCCTTGCTTTCATCCTCATGCCTACTTTAAGGTCCATTTGTTATTTCTGACAGATCAGTTGACTGTATCAGCGGCAACAGGATTTTAAAATTAGATGCTGACCTTTATAATATCTTCTGTGGTCCTTTCAACAGATTTAAGCTTCTTCAAAATGGCTTTTTCTTTTACCGAGATTTTCAATTCTTCTTTCTCGAGATCCTCAATTTCTTGCTCGAGCCTGCAAAGATGTGATATTGAATAGACCACAGATTAACAATAATGAGTACATGACAGAGAATCATTTTTCTCAATTCTAGGAGTTCAACTCCTAGAATTTGAAGGTTTGGAAACTGAGGGAACTGCACTCCCAGCTCAGATAGAGGATACCAGTTTGAAAAAGTCTGTTCCAGAATTAGGATTGCCCCAAGATAATTCATTGTCGGCTTCCGTGTATAATATGGCCATAAGTGTGAAAAATATTCATAAGTCACTATTACAACAGTTACTGTTGTAACTTCAAATAATCACTAAATGAACTGATGCAAGTTGAGGATTATCTGTATTTCTAGGGGAGCTGAAGAGCACAATGGATTTGGGAAGAAGTAAAATAGCCTAGCCCATGTCATATACTTGATCAAAACACAGATCTTCTATTTTTTTCCCCTTTGATTGAGGAGAAAGGTTGACAGGCGATCTTCATTTTTTAACAGTACAATTTTCATATCCCCAAATGGTAGAAAATTTTGACAGTGATTTCTCACCGACAAAAAGTTGGGGGAACAGATGAAACTCTTATTAGTTGGATTGCCCAAATCCAGCACTTGTTCCATAGGGAGATCAGCTGTGGCAGAAAAGCCCTGCTTTGTTTATAGCTATGACCCCAGTGATGCCAAGGTGGCGCAGTGGTTAAATGCAGCACTGCAGGCTACTGCTAGATCAGCAGGTCAGCGGTTCAAATCTCACCGGCTCAGGGTTGA